AAAATCTCCAGATTTTAATAGTATATCGATAGCTCTGTAGAATACTTAATCTCATCCAGCTGGGGATGCTGGCCCTCTGGGAGACTGAGGCAGGGTTATCACAAGTGTGACTCCAGCCTGGACAACTTAGCAATTTAGCAAGATCCTGTCTGAAAATTAAAAAAAAGGCTGGGGATGTAGCTCACTGTGAAGATCCCAGGTTCAATCCCCATACTGGGGAAGAAAAACCAATTACTTAATTACACACTTTAAACACAGACCAATATTCTGGCAACAACTAGATACAGGAAGATAACCTAGGGCGTAGCTCAGTGGCTCCACTGCCTACCTTGCAAACGCAAGGTTGCAAGTTCAATTCCCCAGTACAAAAAAAAAAAAAATAAAAAAAAAAAAAAAAAAAAAAGATACGAAGTCAGGAGTTTAGGATATGAAAACAAGTATAGATCAAAGAAATGATTGTTTATATGTAGTTTAATGCAAGAAAAATGATACTTTAGATTAGTCTTAACACCAAAATGTTAGGTTTTTATATAAAATACAAAAAATAAGGAAATGAATATCCCTTGCAAATAATCAAATAATAGCAACCATTAGATAAATTTTTATATCTAAAATAAAAAGCTTATAATATTTAATGCTAGTAAGTTTGTGGTATAGCTGGTATGCATATTCTCTAGTTGCTTTGGGAATTGGCTCTTACTTCCCCAAAAAAAAAAAAAAAAAAAAAAAAAAGATACGAAGTCAGGAGTTTAGGATATGAAAACAAGTATAGATCAAAGAAATGATTGTTTATATGTAGTTTAATGCAAGAAAAATGATACTTTAGATTAGTCTTAACACCAAAATGTTAGGTTTTTATATAAAATACAAAAAATAAGGAAATGAATATCCCTTGCAAATAATCAAATAATAGCAACCATTAGATAAATTTTTATATCTAAAATAAAAAGCTTTTAATATTTAATGCTAGTAAGTTTGTGGTATAGCTGGTATGCATATTCTCTAGTTGCTTTGGAAATTGGCTCTTAGAAATACAGTACACGTGGGCTGGGGATTTAGCTCAGTGGTGCCTCTGCCTGTCTTATGAATGCAAGGTCCTGAGTTCTATCCCTGGTACCAGAAAAAAAAAAAGAAAAAGAAAGAAATACAGTTACATGCAACAAGAGCCATGAAGCGTTCTACTTGTGGGTCCTTCTCCTCATAAACCAAAATTTAAAACAAATCTTTTCGCCCTCCACCCTCCAATAGAAACAACCTATATTTCTAGCTGAGTAAATGTTTAATATATTAAAGTTATTCAATGTGTGGGAATATTATACAGCCATTGATTGTGATGACTATGTGCAAACGTGGAAAATACTTAAAATGGGATGTTTAATTAGATACATACTGTTGTTGTAGTTATGAGAGGTAGTGCACATTTAAAAACTGATATGCAAAAATGAGGACTGGGGAAAGCCATTGTGCACATATTTGGTTAAATGTTTCTTTGATTTTGTTATATTATCTTTTAACTTTTCTGAAGAGCATGTGGTTACAAGATCCTTGGGCTCCCTTAATAAATACCTACTAAATTCCACCCAGGGCATCCAGCTCATGCATCCTACGGTGGCTCACATGACCCAGTCGCAAGGCTATTCTGAGTGGGGGGGGTCTTCAAAATGGAGATGGAAAGTTCTGAGGCACAGAACGATGGGTGATTCTCTTTTGTTACAGTGCATTTTGTTTGTCTTAATTCTATAAGGAGACAAAACAACAGCTGTAATTTATTCCACCTTTTCTAGGTTTGGGTGCCTCTAATAGGCCCCCCGTTTGGTGATCTACAAACTGATAAGAAATGTCTAACAAAGTGAAGCAAAATATTGTATAAGTAAAGATAAAACTGCTCTTGCAAAAGGCACTATTTAATAGTAGCATTTAAGAACACATTCAATTTTCCTTTCTTTCTTTAAGGGGCAAAATAGTGACACCAAGACCTCCACGTCCCACACTCTTCTGGGTAACCGAAGCCCCACGAAGTGCAACACAGAGAAACCTGGAAGTAAATGGCGTAGCTCTTTCCGCTGTGAAGCTATTCCACAAAGAGCTTCTGCAGAGCGGCGCCACCAGGCAGCTCAGTGCCACAAAGCCAATGTCCTAGGAATTGAGAGAGGGGAGATTTACCCTTTAAAAGAAAAAAGGAAAGGAAGCTACGCGGAGTGCTAGTACAATAACGTTCCTGTCTAGGGAGACTGTGCTGAGGGAGGCTGCTCCCCGCAGGTGTGCCTTCCTGTGTTCAAGCCTTTAAATGAAAACAGATGCCCCCAACTGGAAAGTGGGGTATTTGGAGTGGGTGAAAGTGTATGGATTTACCCAACCTTAAGCGCTGAGCACTTAAGTGATTGAGCTCACAGGGGCGGGCCTGTTTCAGTGGTCAGGGAGTAAGTTTTGTTAGCTGATAGGAGGAAAAGAGTAGACTTGGTGCCAAGCCACCAGCAAGAGCTGCGTGCTTTCATTGTGGCTATCATGCAACATTCTGCTTTTCCAAAATCGCTTACGTGTCTATACTGATCTTCTGAATGTAACTATGGCTCTTCAGCATTTCTGACTATGAATATTTCAACTCCCAACTGCAACCAGCAGAATAAGTCTGGCTTCAAAGTAGGAGAGCGGGAGGAAGGGAGGTAGGAAGGGAGAGAGAGAGAGAGAGAGAGAGAGGAATTCTATAATACATATACCTGAGTCTACAAAGAACCCTGTCTACCTCTAAAACAATAGCTCATAAGATACAAGAGAATCTCAAAACAGCTCCAACTCCCGTAAACAGCACTGTTTTTAATCTGTTGCCTACAACATACCAATGAGAAAAATCATGGTATCATGTCATAAACTGCTATGCAAATGATGCTATTTGTAAGTATTAACATAATTTAGTGCTTACAGTCATATTCTCATTTCTAATAATTCTCCCAAAATGGAGTCTTTCTCTGGACTCTTAGCCTGCAGGATAGTGTTTCATCAAGAAGCTGAAATTTTTAATAACCTGCCAGCATATGTTTTGTATGTGCCAGGCTAGGCTTGATGACACAGCATCTTCATTATCAAAAGAAACAGGTCTACAAACTGTAATAGGACATTAAAACATGTCTGTGCTCATAAAGTAATGCTTTGATGTCTACATGCGCACCATTACAATGATCTTCTGGAACAAAGAAGAATATTAATCCTAAATTCCCAATGACTGCACTCAGTGGAGAGTGCAGTTCACCTCTGCACTAAATACGATTTCACTTCGGAGGCAAAAGCAGTGCCAGTAGTTTCTTACAAAAAGAAAAACATGCTGCTTCTCAGAACAGCTTTATTTTTATTCTCAATTTTGACTTCTCACCACATCATGGCTAAGTGTATGCCTCAGATTGTAGAAACATGTCTCAATAATTATTTTTTCTTGTTAAAAATGATTTAGATAGATGATTAATTATTTATGAGTTTCACATTTAATAACATTAACATGCCAAATATATTTGATGACAATTTAGATGGGATAGCTTAAAATAATTGAAATTAAATAATATACACCGAGGCGTCTACAGTAAATATAATTCAGCTGAATGTCAGTCTTGTAAGTATTTTTTAAACTTAAAGTCAAATATTTCAAATTTACCATAGTCTAGTGGTGGGAGAATGTTTCAAAAATTATTGGTTGACATACCGAAGCCAGCAAATACTTTACATACTAATATTTCAGTTTTTTAGGTACGGAAGTCATACTTTTTCATAGTTTAATCTTAACAGTTTTGCTTTAAAAAGAAAATTCCATGCAGTATGCTATAAAATCCAGTTCAAATAGAACATAAGAGAAACCTCTCTGGGCCTCAAAATTAAATACATTTGCCTTGTTTGTTTGTTCATTTTTTTTTTTCTAGAAGAGTAATTCACTCTTGTATCCTTTAAATAATATGTAGGAAGCTGGCCATGACGGGTACTGCATTTAGTCCATTCACTGTCGGAGGAGGAGAAAAGCCCAGAATAGATCATGGGGAGAGCTGTCACATTTGTCAAAGGGAACTTCTCTCTCCTGACTGTTCTCTAGATTTATTCATCATTTCGCTTTCCCAAGAATAACGTGGTTCCCTCTTGTGTGCCCCTCCCCGCCTATCACTTGTGTCTTGATTCATACACTTCTGTAGTGGGATGCTCAAAGCAGATGCAAATCCCTCTGCACAGCCCACCCCTACGTGTGTCGGTAGGGAAGGAACTAGCTAAGGGAATTTGTGTCTCAATTTTTCTAATCAGCTATGCTTCAACCAGTAGGTCAGCTAAAACAGAGATGTGGGATTGAAAGAAGCCTACATCTCCTGATGCAAAAATGGAACCAGTATATCATAGATATTAAGGCATAAAAAATGAATTATTAAGTAAATTTGGAACAGATGCAAGGTTGTACAGTTCATCTCACAAGCATGCATGGGCTTACGTCTTAAGATCTCTTACCTACTGTTCAGCTTTTGCTGGGAAATTTTCTGCTGGGTGTGTACTATTTTCTTAGCATCTCACGGGGAACAGCGGTTATATAAATTTCCTTGGATTATCTTTAAAAAAACATGGAACTGCTGACAGAATGCTAGGATACGTTAGCTTTTCCAGGTGACAACTGTTTGCTAATAGAATTTCTATCTTGTAATAAAATACAACCAGCTTAACAACAACACTTGTTAGAAGCACGTGATCAAGACCTGCTTAGGACACATGATGAGATTTATAATGCTATCTAAAAATGATTTTTAAAAAATCACTTCCTGATGATCATAATTGATTTGAAGATGTGAATGAAGACTTGTAAGGGTCAAGAAAGGACATTTACCATAAGCTAATGAGTCCCATTCATTTTATGTATAAGGTCTGAGGCCCAAGAAAGCCAGGGCTGTTGCTAACAGGGCTGAGTGGTCTTCTAACTGAGCCTTTTGCCACATCTCCTAACCGTGCGCAGACACTGGTTTAAATCACCATTGAACACTCACATGTGCCCACTTCTTTCTCCAGTCTTCACAGCCGTATCTGTTGCTCTCCTTTAGCACCCACTTGTAGCACTGCAGGTGTGAAGAAATGTCACAAAATGCAGTCCCATTTCCTCCAAACTCCAAGTCCATTTTAAAGAGCCAGCGCTGGATTTGCAGGTGATCCGTCACAACCTGGCTCAGTCGTTCTAACATCTGTGGGGTAAAGACACAGCAGCTTACTGGAGTGCGCTCCCTTGCCACCTTAGTGTCTCAGGTGTGGTACTTCTTCACCTCACAGAGCCTCTGTGCTTGGTTCTCTTCTACTTCTGAAGGCAGATTAGAGAAGTTTTAAGTGATGTATATTTGACGTGAGGAAACCAGTAACTAATTAGGCCAAAGATAGGTTTAAAAGTGCAATCTTATTTATCAGAAATTCCAGAAGTATCATTTTGCTAGCTTTGAAGACAAAAAAAAGAATCCTTAAATATCTGTAATTGAATCCTGGCATTGTTTCTGTCTTTCTCAGTGAGTTACTGATTCCTCAAATGCTTTTTTATAGTTTCAAGACTAGAAAGAGTTTAAATATTATAATCTATAAAGCATTTAATTCTCCCCTCATTAATGCGCATGAAATACCTTTGTGTGACTGGTCAGTTGGCCAGTTTACTACATGCTTGCTATAAACAAGTGTATTACACGGCAAGGCACATAAAAGGCATAAAACACTCATGGAGGCAACCTTCCTGGAATATACACACCCGTCTTACACCTTATTTGAAACATTCCCTAAAGAATGCTTTACAGTGGGCGCCAAGGCATGGAAGTTTAAGGACTAGGATAGAACTCTAAGCTTTAACATCAAAATGACGACAGTGATGATGATGATGATGATGATGATGATGATGATGATGATGATGATGATGATAGCCGTAATGCTATAGTTAGTATTACCGAATTCTCAGCCCCAGGCCTTCCACTCATAGAAGTTCTTTACAGGAATTTCCTCATTTAATATAGTAGCCTATGGGGCAGGCACTGTTGTTAGCCTGCCTGGATGTACATATTAAATGCAACTAACTTCAAAACTTGCCCGTGACCATAAAGCATTGAGTGACAGAGCAGGGTCCCTCCCAGGTTGCTCTGACTCCAAACCCTTTCCGCAGAGCTCCCTATCCCAGCCTGCAAAGAGCTGGGTGAGAAGGTGAAGTGAGCAAGAAGCCAGAGGAAGAACAAGAGAAGCAACTTGTCTTATAGTCAGTAAGCCATTTGGGGTACATTTAAATCAGACAAATACAGCGAGAGACTGTAGCAAGAGAATATAGTGAGATGACTAGGTAAAGCCTTGGATCGAAGCCATTAGATCACAAAATAGCTTTTTTGGTCTTGTCTTCTCATCAGACTTTCTAGTCTGTATTCCCCAGAAAGCAACAAAACATTATTCTCTTCTCCTCTGATGACTTCTCTTGGCCCACCAAATACATTTTCAATTTTTTTTTAAAAAGCCAAAGACTGTGAAAATATTCAAGATTTATAGTTCTGTAGAAATTTGGGGCTATAAAATTAAACTAACTTTAACTATGTTCCCTTACATCGTTATGCCCAGCCAGTGTTTCCGGGATGCCACATGACATGGCAGTGTGGAGGAGATACCAGAATGGCCACACTTGGGGTCCCCAGAAACCTCATGCCACTTGGAGCATTCATTTAGGATGAAAATAAAATTGTGCTCCTTCCCTGATTATCAGGTGGTGTCTACAGATAATTTGGGTGTTTGAAAGACAAGTCTGCACATCACATGAATGCAGCCAAGGAAGGCTTTTTAATGTGTCTTCCCAAGCCGTACCCCTTCTCTGTCTAATACATTGGGAAGATAGATCCTACAAGCATAGGTTGATGTATGTATTGTGATCACACTTTGCAGAAGTAGAGTGGTCTTTGGCCTGCTAACTAACATCAGATAAACTTCTTTCGCCACCCTCAGGAAAGGTGTTCTGGCACAACCTTTTAATTGTATATTTGGATACACTGTATACTGGAGGTTGTAACTACTAACAGAATTATCATCTGCTTCTTCCAAATCCTATTATTTGTTGCTTCTATGAATCCTATAAATAGGTGTCTGTTGATGGATCCCCTACAGTAATGAAACGATCGATAGTATTGTAAAGAGTGTGTCACTGGAAAGAATTATGTGCTATCTTTAAGTGAAAATTGAACAGTGCTTTAAAATAGCATTGCCATTTTTGATTATTTAACCAAAGCCGTCAATATTTCACAGGGAACATATGTCAGAAAGGGGACTTGAGCAGCTACTTTATAGGTCAAAACACGAAGTGCTCACTGGGCTCATGCTGGAAAAATAAGTTAATCATAAACCAGATGACTTTATGCTATTCCCAAACATCATTTTCTGTTTGAGTATCTGTTCAAAATATGTAATATTTTTATTTGTGATTCATTTTATACTGGTAAAGAGCAGAAAGATGACTATTGGAAAAATCCAGCTAATACTCAGAAATCCTTATTAACCTAAGTTAAGATAATCGCGGCTTTCTTTTACCAGCTTTAAGTTTATGATACACATTGGTAAAAAGTCAGTGTTGCTGATTCATCACCATCTTCAGATTCAAAATACTGCTGCTCAGTTTGGATAGGATAGGCACTTAGGGTTAGGGTTAGGAAAGATCTCCGTGGAATACTTCAGTTCTTGGTGACCTCAAATGTACATTTTTCAAATAAGTAGAGTAGAACTCAGTTCCACTTGGCTTATTGTCACACAGATTGCACATACCAGTGGTTAAATAACATTCCTCAAATCTGATGTGTCTCAGATGAGGTTTTTAGCTTTACCTTTGAATACTAGCACTAGATGGAGGTTTAACTCATTAAATGTGTCTACATCTTCAACTGCAATTAACACATCGAGTTCTAAAATATTTCAGAGCAAAGATTGCCTGAGTTGTTATCAGTGCAGATGAAACCAAGACTCAATATAAATATAGCACATAGATTTTAAAGTCTTGAAGGTTGTTTAATGTAACATGCATGTGTGAAATTCTGTCACTTAAAAGTATATTCACTTATATTAATTCTACCAGAGAAAACTTCTACAGGGAAGCAGAGTCAAGCTTTGCCATCTTCAAATCCCAGTGGAGATTAATGACAGTGGTGTGACACACGCTCAGGGGGAACCTCACTGCCCCACTCTACTAAAACTGCTTGTCTCTTTCCTGGACTGTGCTTCCTTCATGAGTCCCTGTCTTGTCAAGAACACTTCAGCAAGATTGAAACGTTAGGGCAATTTGATAAGCTCATAGTCATCTTCAAACTGGTCTCTGCAAAGTATGATTTCTTGAAAGGCTTGATTTGGGGGCTAAATGGGTACCACAGGCGGGCAGTGAGAGAAGGGGATTCCTAATACTGTGCCCCATAAATGCTCAGTGTGTATGGTTCTTTAATTTCTCGAGAAGTGGGCAGGGGGTATAATTTGTGACTGGCTCAGAGTAACGGTCAAGAGAGGCACTAAAACAGAGGTTAGGAAATGCTAACAGCCATTTGTCTTTTAATTTTCTTTATTATAGAAACAGATGGCAGTTAAATGAGAGAACACCTGCCAGAGCTAACTCAAAGAGAAAACATTTCTAGTGACTAAGTATTTCTCCAAATATTTCAGGCCCTAACTATCTGCTGGAAGAATGCAGAACCACAGACTTGGTCCAAGGCAAAACCAGAAGCAGTATTATTCCTGGAGCTATTTTACTTCCCCTTTCTGGATTCTTGACCATCCTCCCTTCCCTTCCTCCCTCCTTCCTGAGAAGCCAAACTATGTTTTACAGAGCCAAGGGTGTCTGTAGCCCTCTGCATTTTGACCTGGCAGAGGGGCTAACTCTCTGGAGCTTTCCAAACTTGCTTCTTTTAGCCAAAATTTACTCATGTTTCTCAGGGTCCCACTAGCTGGCTGATGTGACGATTAACTGATCTCTGTTAAGACATTAAAAATTGATGGCAGATTAGTCCAAATGAAGAGTCAATTCAACAGGATCTTCTATGTCTTAATCCAAATGAGTAAATATTTTGGAAATTCCAGCAATTTTTGCAAGACCAAATAGGGAACCTCAAAGCATGAAGGCCTAATGTGAATCAACACAATATTCACATACTCCTTTTTTTTTTTTTTTTTTTGGGTACTGGAAACTGAACTCAGGACCTTGCTCTTGCAAGGCAGGTGGCAGCACCACTGAGCTAAATCCCTGCCCAATATTCACATGCTCTTCATTGGGTAGGCCTGCTCCCGATCACCTGAAGGTCAAGAGGATTTAAATGTTTGAACAGAGCCTGGCATGCCCACCCCACATACCTGTTGATAACTATAGATGTCATATATTCCAGGAGGGGTTGGCACGCTGGCACTGTCGAAAACCTGTTTACTTCCAGACTTGGCACTATAAAGTTGCACCAGTTCAGGCTCCGAGCCCAGGATGGGTACATTTAACAAATCAGCCACAGCCAAATCATCTCTGTGAAGGAGTCCACCCACGATGTAGGCCTCCCTGCCTTGGATGAGATTTTTTATTCTTTTGATTGCCTTGGGACTGTACAGCAGGTGAGTGGCCAGGCACATCTGATGGGTCTGGGGGAAGAGCACATTATACTTGTTAAAAGGTGTGCTTTTTCTAGTCCATGCACCTGATTTATAATGTTGCACATAATAAATACATTATTAATAGCAGACTGGGTTATGACCTATCCTGTTGTTTAGCAGTTTAAATTGATAAAAGCTGTTGGGGTGAGGTTCCATAATCGCTCACATCTTTAGTGTGTTGGAAATAGGCTCACTGGGAATAGAACTAATTACTACACATCTGTATTTATTTGATCCATGTGGAATTATCCTTCTGTCAGAAGGAAAAGAGGCTGGCAGCCTTTGGATAATAGTGATTCATCTCTGCAACACTTCTGGCATGGTTTAACACTAAAGCGTCTGGAAAATCAATACCAAAAAATGAAGAAAAAAGCCTCATAGTATTCTTCACTGTATGGACTCATAATCGGGCAACTCTTGAAGTGCTTCATCAGGAAAAAAGGCACTTGGCCTGACCTTCTCTTTCCAGATTCTACCACAAAATCAGCTTCACTTTTGCAGCGATTATCAATTGTTCTAGCCAACAGTTCTGGGAAGGATTCACAAAGGAAAAATACTTGAAAATGTCAGCAAAACTCAAATTCCTTTTCCAGTGACAACTCTTTTTATGTTTTTTGGATTAGTTAGACCCATCTTAGCAATGCATGTGCTTGTCTCCTTCAGTTAAGTAAGTTAACTCTCCCCATGTCTAATGAAGCAAACGACTGCTGGATTGGATGGTCAGCACAGAACAAAATAATACAACCAGGGTTCTGCTTTCAGGAAGTGGGGAAACCAATACAAACAGTTAACATGTAACTAAAGCAAGACTGATAAGGCCATAGGGAGCTGAAGAGTGCTTCAGAGGTATGGAAGAGGGAGACAGAGGCCATATGCTAGAGCTGAAAAGACAAGTTATTCATTCTCTTTAAGCCCCAATTTTCTCATCTATAAAAAGAATGTAGTAGCTGTATCGTAGGGATGTTGTGAGGGTTAAATGGGATAATGCACATAAAGCACTTATAATACTGTCTGGGATATAATAAGGGCCTAATTGAATGTTAGCTTGTAGAATTATCATGACAGAGGTTAGAGGTGAGGTAAATTCTGAAGTATGGGGAAGATTTTACCAGGTGAAGTTGGGCATGGGAGAGACATTACCCAAGAATGCAATACTAGAACCAAGATTTTGCTTACTTCCTCCAGAGAAGAAAGCATTACATGGAAAAGTGCTAGGGCTTTGGAGTCCAGCAGACCTGGCTTTGAAATATATCTGTCACTTGTAAGCTACATGACCTGGGCCAAATGAGATTCCACAAGCCCATTTCTTCATATGTTAAGTGAGAGTCAAAATATCCATGTCTGGGGTTGCTTTAAAGGCTAAAATAAGATAAAAAATATAAATCACCTAGTATATTACCTGACATTGTGTCAGTGGTCAATCAATGGTAGTAATTATCTTTACAAGGAAAGCCCTCTTTAAGAAATAAAGCCATTGCAATGTCATGCAAATAATATAACGTAAAGGTACCAGACTTTTAGGGGAATCCAAGAGGTTTCATAGACTAGTACCTACTTCTAATATTAGTAAAAAATTATCTACTCTTCTTGGCATAAAAATGTGGAGAAATGCTACGTGACTATTTTCAGGAATATGCAAGGCACCAGTGTGCAGACTGCTGAGCAGTATAACTTGTAAATGTGACAGAAAGAGAACTGGACTGGGAAGACTTCCCTGGATCTCAGTTCTGCTTGAATGTGTAATTTTCTGGGTGATATAGGACATTCAGATCCCGCTATTCAAGTGAGGGGGTGTACTAGAGGGCTCTGGGGTCCTTTCAGCTCTTACACAACTCCCCCTGGTAAAACAAGAGCTCTTCCATACTTATTGATTACTGATGCAGGGTTCCGTTTGGTGGTGATGGAAAGTTCTGGAAATGGATAGTTACATAACAATATGGATGTACTTAATGTCACTAAACTGTATGCTTAAAAATGGTTAAGATAGCAAATTTTATGCTATATATATATTTTACCAAAATAGAAGTGGCAAAAAATAGAACTTCTCTGAGAAGATTTATATGATTTGATTTACCTATTAAGCCCTTCCTCCAGAGTAGGAGTTTTATTCTAAGCTCCTTAAATCTATGCAGTATGCATTTTCTACCCTAGTTAAAATTCATTTTTAAAAGGTACTCTGAGAGCACAGTTCTAAGAAACTCAGTGTTTGGGATCCATTTCCCATCTAGCTGGTCACTGCTTTTCCTCCTTGTTTATTTCATTGCTTTCCTTCTCCTACAAATTATTTTAATGAGGAAATACAGAAAAAAAATCTGTCCAGGGAAACTGCTGATTTGAGTTACTCTGTCCATGGTGGGCTTTCCGGGGCATCTAGAAGAGTCCATCCTCTCCAGGTAATCTAACAAGGTCAAAGCCTTAGTCAGTCACATGTTCTCTCAGCCCACGGAACTCGGTCTCCATCAGCAGTCCCTGTTTTAGAGACAAGGACATTGAGGGTCAACTGATTTTCCCAAAGTCACACAGCTAGTGAACAGCAGAGACAGCATCCCAATCCACTTAGCCCGATTGATGTGCCCTTGTGCCGCAATGGCCCTGTCTTGTAGAGTGAGCGGTGAAGGTCTGGTGCTGGTGGGTTTATGAGCTGTGGCGAGGGGACAGCAGACGCAGCAAGAGAAACTCATGCTACAGTTTGGACCACATTTTCAGCCGGGATAGATTTCTGTCTCCTCTATCTAGGTGCTTATTTCTTTTGGGCAGTATTTCCCCCAACTCCATATTACAGTTATCTATGGGCATGCCTTATTCTTCAGGCACATAGTACCATAGCATTGTGTTAAATGTATTTAATGAGGATTTAAACGTGAGTGAGTGACAGCAGAGGACACATTACGGAACACAGGTCTTGTGTGATCATGTAGAGAAAATCAGTATCATCACATCCAGGCAGCAGGTTAACACTGATGACAAAAACCTAAAATGTTCTTCATTGCCTTGTGTTATGGCTACATTTAATTTGTTGCCATATATTTTTTTGACCTGAGACAAACAGTAGTTCTTTAGAATGTCTTCAGAATTTCCAAATTATCCCAAAATAGACATGGTGACTTTGATAAGAGCACGTTTTACCATTACCAATTCAAGCATTGTATAGTAACTTGGGGAGATGTACAAACAGATTTTTGGCATGCTTTTAAAAATCCCCTCAAAGCCATCCATTTGAATGGAAATCAGCACTGATACAATCTCTCAAACCCATTAAAAAGAAATAAAACAATATCTAAATATGAGCAGAAACTGTGAAAGGGAGAGTTTAATTTTTGTATTTTAAAAAGTTGATTGCTTATGAGTGATTAATTACTCAGATAATTTGAATTTAAGCTATGAGAAGTAGTAAGTATGGAAAACCTTGCCTCTTTGTCTTTGCTCTCCAAGGAGCAAACCTTCACACTGGCTGCACCTTGTGTGCAGGAGAGAGCTGCCTCTCTCTTGCTTGAAAGTCCATGAGTACAGTGCAAGGGTGAATATCTCAAGGAGTAGGAGTGTAGGATTGGAGAGGACTTTGGAATTATCTCATCCATCTCCTCATTTTATAGATGAAGCACAGAAGACCAGAGAGGAAAAGGGGCCTGCCCAAGGCCACGTGGCCATCCAGGAGCAAAGCAGTCAACTCCAGTCCATTACAGTGTTCTGGAGTAGCCAGAATTTTGTTTGTACTTTGGCCCTACTGAGAACCTTGGACTAGAAGATGAATCTTAGTTTCTACAGACATAAAAGAGAGTGATCATTTGTCTTTCATTGTTCTGATGATCAAGTGAGAAATACATGTTAAAAATTTGATAAATTTACTCTCTCTCTCTCACAAATCCCTTTTCTACTCCATGCCTCTTATGGGCATTTTAGAAAAAAAAAACAAAACTCCATATTGGCAGCTAGCAGGCATTGGTTAACTTGAGTCTCTGGTCAAGAAAGTCAGGAATTTAACTAAACACTAAATGATAGATCTTTTCCTTCTTTGCTTCCTAATGTCTGCAACGACTATACCATTAAGGACAGGGTACAGCTAGGAAGTACCAAAAACTAAAAAATAAAAATAAGTGAAAGTCTTTCCTAAGACCATGAGTGGCAGTGATTTGTCCCCTGGTCCTTTCTCTTACCGCGCCTCCCGTGCCTTCCTCTTCCACAAACAAGGCTGCCAATGAAACAGAACTGAGCAAGAGAGCTTTGGGAGGGAGGATATTGAGGTGTCCACTATAACTTTTCATCTTGATAGCAGAGACAGCTCACTGATACACCAGCAAGACAGAAATGCTTATTGGTCTTTCTAAGCTTTGGCAGAACTTTCTCAGGTTCCATCCTCTCCCTTTTTGGTTTGTCAAATCGTGCATTTAGAGGTGCATCTAAGTGTTAACAGGTGCTAACTGAGCACACAGATACTTCCTATGTAAGCATGCAGCCAGTTTCTCTGGTAATATGTAGACAGCTGGCTGGTGTACCTCGATAAGAAGCAGAGGGAGCTATCTTTATAAGCAAATTCAATCTTTAATTATACAAAAAAGTCTCCTCAAGATTGGATAGTCCACGAGGTATTAACATGTTTGTTTAATGAGGAAAGTTTAAATTCCTACTAAAATGTGGAGCAATTCATTTCAAGCCATCTGTTGTTCAGCCTTTGCCTAGAACACTGCCATTGTGGTTCCACGAATTTTCCAAAGGCTGTTGACTAGGGATGGGAGTCCATTCAAAATTCATTTCATTCATTAAAAGGGAATATTGGTACCTTGCTTATTCTGAACCATGTGACATGGTAAGTCAGGCCATCTTCCCCTGAAGAAAAAAAATTGTAGAGAAACAAGGAATACCTATGTGGAAGTCAGAAAATAGGGGTCCTGGTCTAGATTCTGTCCCTAAGTAGCTTTGTGATCAGCCTTTCTGTGCCTTGGTGTCCTCCACACCAAATTAAGAAGAAGGGATGGTAGATGTTATAAATTCACCTACTTGATGGTACTATCTCAAAACTGCAATTAGGCTTCACTTACAGAGAGACTGGGCAGGGGTAGCTAAACTAAGTCTGAAAGTTAAACTGGGGTATTTATTTCCTACAGTCAAACTAGTAGTCTAATCAGTAAAGCTGTTAAACTTGCAATAATATTTCACTGATGTGTACCAGAGCGTTGCAAGTTATAAAATTTCCAATTTAATTTTACTGCATCCCTGAAGCCGTAGTAATTAGAAGACAGACTCACAGTGAAGATGTTTACAGCTTCAGGGGTGATAATTTTGAACCTATGCTGCAGGTCACTTCTGTCCTCAAGGTTCCCCGATTTGACAGCTGCATGTAGACTCAGGATTTTATTATAATACAGCATTAACTCGTCATTCATATGATGGGAGCAGATGTAGATGATGTTTACATTGTCATCTAAAACACAACAGGCACAATGTTAATTACTGGTATAAAGGTAAATGGCACTATGAACTCTGGCACCCAATGGATGTTGTGCAGTTTAAAATAAAGAGTATATCCAAAAGCCACATTGAAGTTAATGTAGCTTGGTTTTGCACACATCTTAGCAATCTAACCAGCTTTTTTTCACCTCCGCATTTCTCTGATGACAAGATAAACCAACAACAAAATACGCGCAGTGATTCCTTCAGAAAGAGGGTTGTGAGGTGATATGAAACTGTACTTTCAAATAATACACGGGGATTTAGTCACACAACTCCCATTAACATCAATGGGAATTTATCCCATTAACTTCAACAAATTATAAAACAAAGCTATTAACTTTAGAAAGCTGATGAAATTGCAATTTCTTATTCTGCTTGGACGTGACAGGGCCAATTCAAGGAATGTCCTGTCCAAATAAATGGTCTGATTATGATGGTAGCAATCATTATTTCAGGAAACCAATGTTTTTCCTGCTCCATCCCAAAGAGGAGTATATTACTTAAATAGCATAGCTAGTGATTCTTGGTCTAAAGGAAACACAGCCTTAAGTTCACTATTCCCTTTCTTAAGATATGCTTCTTCTCATGCATATAGAAAGAAATCCTAATTAAATATCCCATCCAAATGGAATAGTGAGATAAGATTCAATCCATGCTGCCGAATATTTTAGAGAGTATGGATGTGCAATCAGCAGCCAATGGAATTATTCACTCATAAAATAGCCAACTGATATAAATACAAACAGGCAAAACACTAGGCTAAACATGAAGGAAATCCAGTAAGTAGAGTGACCAAGATGCCACCCTTGAGGAGCAACCATTTCACAGGCACAGAATGTAAAATAGAGTGGAGAGAATCGGTACGAGGAAGCCCGCAAACAGGTACTTCGGGAGTTTCAGGAGGAAGGCTGAACATGTTTCTGGCATGGTTTCGAATGTCTTCTCAGAGGCTCAAGCAGAGGCGGGCTTTTGGAAGGGGATAGGAGTCTGAGGGCCCTGACCTCCTCCACGGATTGGTCCAGTGATGACTTTGTATCTGAATGTCCTGCTAGGAGGTGGGCCTGGATGGAGGAGTAGGTCACGGCAGAGTAAGCTGGAAGGGGATATTCTTGTGCCTGCCCCTTCCTCTCTCTCTGCTTCCTGGCTGCTGTGAGGTGGGCCTTTTTCCCACCACACCCTTCTGCAATGATGTTTCTGCCTCGGAGCCAGGTGACTGACACTTCTGAAACCACGAGCCCAAATGATCCTTTTTTTTTCCTTTAAGTTGTGTTTGTCAGGTGTTTGGTCTCAGCACCAGAAAAGTGACTAACATAGTTTCCTTGGGCAAAGTGGGCTAAGAGGGGATTGTAAGACTCCTCTGTTGCAGTTTGGAAGTGTACATGGAGCACAGACTTAATTCTAGTTCCGTTGCCTTGGGCCCTGGGCATATTACATACTATTTAACTTGTTAAAATCTGTCTCCTTCATTTGTAAAAATGGGAAATCACCCGGGGTATGGAGTTTAGAGAGTATTACAATGAAAGAACACATGTGAAGCACCTGTGCAATACCTGTTCAACAAATAGCCCAGGTACCTGAATATTCTCCACCCTGACCAGCCGAGCCGGCAGCGACTCCCAGCCTGTGTACCACTCCTGTGCTCCTTGTGATCAGAGTTAACACAATGGAGCACTGTCCCCCGTTGTTCCATGCTGTTTTTTCAAACCTACTAATCTCTGTAAGATACTCAGATTCAAAGTTGATACCCTTTGCTCTATTTCCCCAAGCCCAGGTATAGTAGAGAGCACATAGGAGTTGCTCCATAAATACTTGTGGGTTGACTGAGGGATTTTGGAGAGTGGAGAGATTTGAGAAGTAGAAAGTCTTACGGATTTAGTGGAGAGAGCCAAGGCGTGCAGGAGAAATCCCTGCCTGAGGAGACCTGGAGGTAACAGGAACAGGCCCCACTGGGCTCAGAGTAGCTACTCCACGTGTGTAAATAATGCATTTAAAATTGAAATTAAATTGTCATCTAAATGTCAAAATACATGAAGAGGCAGTAATGAAATAAATTGTATCAGATGCTGAATGATCAGATTAGTTATTCCAGTTCTTGTGGTTTGAAGACAAAACTAATATCAAACTAGCAGGTTTTAAAACCAAATTAGTAATTTTTTTCAAACTAGTAATTTTTAAAAAAGAAAAGTATAAAAAAGGGACACAAAAACAGAAGAAAATATGGCTAAATAACTCTTAGAATAAAAATAAATTTTCCTTGGAAATAAATTTCTAGGTAACAAATGATAAGGAATCTAGATGCTAATTTCACCTTTCTTGCCTATTCAGTTCTGGAAAAGGAATACATCTCCAGTATTCCAGTATTAGTGTGCTCTCATCATGAATCTACACATGTTCACAATTAATTGATGGGTGATTTTGGAAGGGAGCTGATATAAAAATAAAATTGCTTTGGTTGCTAAGCAATAGTCAAAATCAGCTACTCTTAATTTGCCTAGGAATTGAAAAATACTATTCATTTGAGTCTTTATGCAACAATCCTGACTTCATAGCCAATATCAAATGATGATTCTCACCAGTCTGATCAGATTATCTTTGTTCCCCCTGAATAAGAAGGAAAATAACACCTTTTACTAGCAATTACTAGAATAAAAAGATAGTTATTCTTCCACCAATTATTAATTTTTCTAGTTTCCTCATATTTTTTATCTCCTATAACGTACTTTTTCTTTCATGTACTACTTCTAAACTTTACTCCTGTTGGAGAAGTTATCTGATTGCACTGTAATCTCATGAGGCTAGTGTACCAAGAAAAGGTACAGTCTCAGCCATGTCTGTATCTGCTGAAGTTGCCACTACAGATGGACTCAGACTGAATTATTAGAGTATTTAAAATAAAAGCCTAATACTTTCAAAGTTTTTCCGGTAATGAGAACTTTTTCTAAAGAAATTCTTTGGTGATGGTTTATTCTATATATAGAAGGGTATATAAAAAGCTGAAGAAAAAAATTAACTCAAATAAATTAGAGCAAAGTCTGCCCTCTGCTGCACTTCAGTGGTTTTTATCCAGTCAGGTTGAAATAGCTCAGCACTAACAAATCATTCTCAAGTCATTAAATTATTTTTCTGTAATGCCAAAAAACAGTATCATTGCCTAGATAATAGATTAAAGCAATTATACTATATTATTTTAGGACTCTGTAAATTTCTAGTATTGATATATTTTTGTTACCAAATGGCATTTATAAAATAATAATGTTTTGAAATATATATGTATCATGTAAAGTGTGTCATTCCCGGGAGCCAGCTAAACTGGTCATTGATAATTTAAAATTCTCCCTTGTTTTACTTAAATAAGTGCCAAAGCAATTATATTTTAACAAAACAAAGAAGTTTTTACTTGGTAACTAATAAAAATCTAATTTTTGTGTAACCCGAGAATTTCACCAGTTTTTCACAGTTGGACTCAATGTTATTTCTTAGCCTTTACAATCTATTTGTTTAAGTCTAACTCGAACCTTGCTCCTTGAACAGTATCAACCGGAGCTACCGTCTTCATACAGCCTCCTCTTCTGGACCCATACTGGTGACCGACTGAGGAGTGCCCAAACTAGTACCACAGCCAAACTTTTACGAAGATGTTTCCTTACTCAAGTTCTGTATTCCTACGAATTTCCTCCACGAAGCCCTTCACATTTTCTACTGACTAGATGCTTAATATTTATAGAACAGCATCTTTTAAAAATCCATCTTCGTTTCACCAGTAGTCTTACCACGAAAAGACAGCACTTCGTTTCTTATACCTACCTTCCCTTCATTGCTCATATACTGGACAATAGTGACACCAGTGTAAAATTTTGACCTCAGTCATTGCAAGGATTCCATAAATAAAGAAGATTTTGCTATACGGGAGAGAAATCCTTATTCAAACCTATAGCAAAGAGAATTTGGTAAACTGTTCAAGTAATTGATTAAAATGTTATTTTTAGTCAAGTCGACTTCACTATCCGTTACTTAGAACATTCAGTTGCCCTGAAATATAGATTAGAAATCTAAGCCTTTTCTTTGTAGAGATAAATACATAAATAAAAAAGAAACATTGTATCAACATTCGCTGATGAACACTAACAAGAATCATTAGTGTTAAACTATTTACCGTACCTAAGATGTCACACAGCCTCCCCAGCTGCATATTCTGTTGTGTGCTGAAATCAGCAATATGTTCTCGAACAGGCTGGGAATATCCTAAAAGGCAAACAAGGTGTCAAGGCCCAGAAAGAGCAATTCAATATAGCAAATGGCACATGAGAATTTCAAAATGTCACAGTCCACATTTCCAGGAAAAAAAATTTTTCTCTGCAGCATTTTACAAAAACAATATAACTTCAAGAATGTGGTCCTTGCTTCTCAGGGGATTAAGCATTATTTGGAAAAATGTGCTAAGTCTCCTATTCTGCAACAAAGAGACTTGTGGTTTTCAATACTAACAAATTCCTAAGAGTCAGGATTACAAAAACCTGGGAACATTTTTTGACATTTAACGTAAGAACATCGAACCCAGGTTAAGAAAACATTGTTTTGGCCTTTGAATTTGTGTGGCCGATGTGACCCTTTGGAGGTGTGTCCCAGAATTACACACAGATTTCAGATAAACCCCTCACTGTGAGGATTATGTAATTAAGGAATTGTCATATTCAAGAAATAGGTTTCTACTCCCAGATGAAAGAACTTTTAACCTTGAAAGGGCAAAGAAGGTTAACACGGTTGCTGTCAGTACTAAGTCTGTAGTTTGCTTTCGTTTCCACTAGAAACAGCAGAGGGAAAACATATATGGATTACTGCCATCTAAAAGTTTTCCGCAGAACAAATGACAGCAACATTTTCTGCTATTATATCATGTCTTAAAAGAAAAAAAAAGTAGATCTAAACATGAACTTAAAAGGCACGCATACTCACAAGCAGTATAATTGCTTATATGAAGTTCAGCAACTGAAGGTGCAACTTTTTTAAAAAATAAAAGCGCTTTTCACAGTTTGAGGAGATGCTTCAATGCCTCCTTGTGGTTAGTGAGCCCAAACACATGTTTCAAGTTCAACTGCTCTGGTGGAAGCGGTTTGACAGACTGCATCTTGAAGATGTGATGCAGATCTCCTCAGCGTAAGAAAAACTATAGCAATTCAGGGAACAGAGCTGCGGGCCGATGAACTCTGATAATTGGCTCTTTGCTTTGATGTTAGTGTTTAAACACTATGATGATGCCTTGAAATTAAATGAGTTAGGATTCGTCTGAAAGCCTCTGCTGTATGCATATGAATCTAAGAATTACAGAACTAGAAGGATCCATTGTCTGTTTTGAATCATTTGAGAAAAAATATTTTTGCAGATAATTTAGGTAGCCAGTCCATACAAAAGCTAATAGAGACAGATAAAGTTTCAGTGCTATCTTTGCATGTGATTGCAGTATTGCAACTCTTGGGATTTTATATGTGTTGAAGTCTACCTGTATTCGGATAAATGTTTATAAAGATGTATGGTGAATAACTCAGAGATCCTATGAGAAGGTAAGGAAAATGGCTAAAGAACAAAGTATGATTAAGAAAAGAGCCCGACAGCACTCCATGAATGCATTTCTTTTTGCAAGTGAAGATAAAAGGTAGTATATGATGTCTCATTAAGATGATGTCCAATTTAAAATATGAAAGGTGTTTGATCACTTTGTACCTTCCAATGCAGCCTGTGAGTGAATAAGTCTGTGTTTCATTCAAGTGCCTGAGGTCAGTTTTACAACAAATTACTTAGTACCTCTGTTACCACTGATCAAGGATGCATGAAAATGTCTTTGCAGAATTATGGCGGGACTGACAACTCTAGCCCATTTACAAATGCACCCATTTAGAAGAACTGCACGTTAACAATTTCAGAACATGGAAGAGCACATGAAATAAGATATAAAAAAAACTGCAAACTGTAAAGTGCTGCATAAATATAAGATATTATAATGTTGTGAGTTATGTGGACTTCCAAAGCACACACAACAACCAATTCTGTGATAAGCAATGTAGATATTCCATGACAAGCAGTACAATATATGCAACGCTACTAGAACAGAAGTTTGGGATCAGTTTTATTCTCATGTTTACCCCCAAGATACAGGTGTTGGCCATATAGGTGAAAAGGTGTCAACAATGCTGCTAGCATATTTAAAAACAATAGAGACTTAACCAGGATACTACAAACCATTGTGTGGCTTTGAGGAGTTCAGAAGAGATGTCCAGTGGCAAAGACATCCCATTTTGGGATATAATCTGTGAAGACTTGGTTACTTCAGAGGTCAGACCAAGAACACTGAGGGAATCCTGAGTGACCCTCAACCTCACCCTGCCCTATTCTACATGCGGAAATCAAGATAAGTGCCTTGTTTCTTGACCAAGATCATACTCATGTAGCTCAGCTATTACCTATTTAGCTCTTGTGATCAATTTAGTTACAAGAAACAGAAGACTCTCTAAGTGCAATTAGAGAACTCCAGAAAGGACAAAGAGCTTTTGAGTCTTTCTTTACTTTAATTTCCAATTTGCTACAGTAGACAGAATACTAGCCCTCCAAGATGTCCATGTTTGAATCCCTGGAACTTGTGAATATGCTCCATTATGTGATAGCAGAAGTGAAGTTACATATAACTTAAAACGAGGAGATTCTCAGGATTATCTAGCCAAAGCTGATATCATTAGTGATAAAGGTCCTTGAAAGAGGGAGACAGAAAAGTCGGAAGATAAGAAGATGTGACTACAGAAGAAAGGCGCAGAGAGTTGCAGTGGTTCTGGCTTTAAAGATGAAAGAAGGGGCCTCAAAGGGAATGCATCTCTGCTGACACCTTGGTTTTAATATTTTTCAGATGCCTCAGTTCTTGAAGTATAGAGTCATAAATCTGTGTTGCTTTAAGCCCACCAAGTTTGAGGTACTGTCTTCCCTGGCTCCCACTGACCACCACCCCTCTTTGATGTCCTGCTCCTCTTTTCACCTCTGGTTGACGTGTGAGAGAGGGCCAAGATCCCTGGCACAAGAGAGGCATTAGTAATTATTGCTGCTGCTGTTATTATTATTTTCTTCCTAACTACGGTTGAGCCAGACTGAAATTCTCAAAAGGAACTTCATTTACATGTAGGGAAACTATTATTACTACAAGCACAGAACTGGCCCATGACACTAATGGGACCTCGTCCCTCTCAGGCATGGCTGACAGTGCTTTTCTAAGCAGGTTCTTAGTCTCCCTTCACTCTCATTCTCCTGCACTACTCTTTTCTTCGTTTCTTCAGTACTCCTTCACCACTCTTGTCCCATTTTGCCGTCACACATAGCTTGCTCGTTTGTTAAGCTGTGTGCCTCTCCTTTTCCCTGCACAACTCCGGCTCCTGAGGTCAGACCACAAGCTCCTTTAGAGTAGGCACTGGGGAAATCCACTATCAAATGGGTGAACAAAACATGTTGGAGAGCCTCACCGAGAGAGTCTGTCTTTTATGTTCTCTTTTTCCCATGTGTTCTGTCACTCTTCCTTTCCTTTGGGTTCTCTGCTCTAGAGAATGTTTGGTGAACTCTAAGAATGGAAAATGGGATTTATAGATTTTTCCAGGTCCTTATTAGCTACAAAAAAACAGCTCTGGAAGAAAGGGCCCCTCTTTCTTCCTCCTCACTCTGGAGAGGAATATAGCCTTTTTCCTTATGGCTGTCCTCATTACATCCAAAATATACCTGATTAATAGAGTGTTCCATCTTCTCTCAGGTAAGCAGTTGCAACATATAACTACTACTTCCGTATCATGTTAGCTGCCTGCTGCCTCTCTGAAGTTATTCCGTTACTTTTGGTCTTTTAACAGAACCAAGGATTTTCATCAGTTGTTATTGGCAGTCATTTCTCTATCTTCTGTTCCACCTTCACCATCCTTCCCAATCCCCACTGCCATACAACACCTATCAGGTAATGCTAATTGCCTCTTTTCATGCAGAAGACTAGCTTTGTTGGCACTATTTTTTCCTTCACTGAAACCACAGAACCCCTCCTCAGGTTCCTGGGCCTCCTGAGCCCTGGTTTGTGCCTCTGTGGCAGGCCTCTGTTCCGCAGATCACATGTTCTCGAATACTTGGATTACCCCATGGCTGACTCTGAGTTTTCCTTGTTTCCAAGACCTATTCCTTACAATGTAGTCAAGTCAGAGGAGTTTAGCTAACAATCGGCTCCTGGTTATCAAATTATTGAAATTCATCCGATTACTCTGGCCCAAGATGATAGTTTATCCCTTGCCAGTGTGACTGGTCTGGGACAGTAATTTTTAGCCTTTTTCTCACTTTGAAACACATGGTGGGTGATCAATGTATCATGTCCTTCTGGTGGCACACAGAATTATGATAGTGGTAACAGTAATGCCGTTCTTTCTCTTCCACTCCAGATAGTGTGCTGGGTGCAGACTGAGCAAGAGTGACATTATTCCAGAGGTAATCGCTCCAATTCAATCCAAAGAACTTGGGTATTCTTTGAATGGTAAAAACATAAGGGGACATATGACATACTTCACAAAGGACTGCACATAACATCTTCAGATACTATAGATAACATGACGTACACATCATGGTTATGTCTGGGTTTTAATTACTTGTGCAAGTGTGAAAGCACAAGATACTAGATAGCAAGAAAGTCGGATACCAAGAGAAAGCTACAGAGAGCTCTGCCCAGATCACTATATTCTATATCCAGTGCTAGTTTGATTAAAGTAAAATTGATGTGGGGGGGGCTATCAAAGGGAATTAGGAATTTTGCTATGAGGATCTAGAAAAAACATTTACTGAATTTTGAAAACATTCTCAAACCAAATGGGCAAGTAGATTAAGCTTCAAAAGGCAAGGACTTTCTCTTATTCCACTTTTTGTCAGTGGCTGTTCGAGCACTGTAGGCAGCGAAAGCCAGTGATTCTTAAATTGTGGTCCGCAGATGCTGGGTTGGGTACTGAAACCATTTCAGGCATCTGCAAGGTCAAAACCATTTTCAGAATGATCCTAAGACATTGTCTGCCTTTTTCAATCTATTCTCTCACAGAACAAAAAGTTTATTCATATGCTTGCAGATTCCACATTGCTATGACAGTATTACCAATGCTCAGTTAAGTATGAAACCCAAAAAAGGATACACACAATTATCTGAAGAGGTTATAAAATATTCTTCTCTTTTCCATATACTTATCTCTGAAGAGCTGGATTTTCTTCATATATTTCAACCAAAACCACATATATGACAGATTAAGTATAGAAACAGCAGAATCCAACCATGATATATTCAGAGATTTGTAAATTTGTCAGTCACCACCACTCTTCTCACTACAATTTTTTTTGTTTTGGAAAATAGGCATTTTTAATAAAAATATCTTATTTGAAGTTATTATTTAGTTAATAAATATGTTTAAAGTATCTCAGTTTTTGGTATCTAATACAGCAAAAAATGATAGATACAATTCACTTAAATCGATGTTTTTTAGGATCTCTGATAATCACAAGTGTAAAGTCATCTTGAGAAGAATGCTCAAAAATCTACTGAGCAAATGTTTTAGTATTTTTATGAAAATAAAGATTATAGATATGTTTTATTTAGCATATGCAATGTTTATTTTTACAGCACAACCTAATATTAATCCATTTTATGAAAGGCCCATGTGCTGGTGGCACTTGATACCCTATTTAATACTGTTTCTGTGTATTATGGTACAACATTAGATGGTTTAAGACCAATTGGAGATTTTTATAGTGCAGGGCCCCTGGGCCAGCTCTGATCTAAGAAGGGATTCAGTATTAATTTGCTTGTCATGGATAAATACAAAGATGTTTTAATTTTAGTTTGGGCTAGCTATGAATAAATTTGAAAGTATATGTGTACTTTGTTTCTGGTCAGAAAAGACCCAGATATTCCTGAGAAAGGCTGTCTGGAAGACCTTGGCAGTGGATCTATCCCAAGGAAATCAGCTGTGGGTTCCATATATCTGCCATAACATGTTGAAGACTGCAATGACTGAATGGAAAGTTCCAGTCTCTCCAGACTAGGTAGAAGAAACAGAACTGATCTAATCTTTGAGTGAGTTGTCGACTAAAAAAATGAGAAAGTAGAGAAGTGACAGTGCTTACAGGCACAGTAAAAATGTGACTTCAGATGTGCAGTCTGGCTCGCGGCCTTCTCCCCTGCCCCTGGTCCCAGACAGAGGTGGCTGCAATTCTTACCTCCCAGGGAAAGGAGTGCAGTCATAAAGCAACAGTGTGGTGAGCATGTGGGGCTTTCTCAGTTTGGTGTGTGGTCAGGTGCACACACAAGTAAGTTTCCCCATCTTTCCTTTTAGTTATAGTGCGGACCAGCTAAAAAAGGTTTTGCATGAACTTCATAATAAGAGTAGCCACAGTTTTTAATGGAACAGAGTGTTTTTGGAGACCACTCATTTTGCTAACCCCAGGAATGATTTGCTAAAATAATGCACAGAAAGAGAAAAAGCAAAGCCTATGTACATTAACTTTAGCCATTAAATTAATTGCCAGTGAAGTAAGACATTTTACATATATATAGAGAAAAAAATCCAGCTTCAATATGTCTCCTCCTTGAACTTTAATAGAAGAACGGAAGTGAGAGGAGAAACTCATCCCTGGGGTTTACTCAGCTGGCAGCAGCCTCAGATACCTGCTCATGGTATCAGAGCCCAGTACCTGGCACGTCTCACTTGATGTCCATATACTGAAACATGCCGCCGAGTTTAAGTGGCGCCTAATGATGTGCCGCAGTGAAGCAGCACAGGGGTTAAACAAAAAGTGGAGGAAATAACACGACCAGAGAAACCAGAAGCAGAATTAGCTTGTAGGTTTTATTTAGACCTCTGGTTTTTCTAGAGGAATTAGGATTCTTCGTTACAGTTCTTTCTTATTTGACTGATAGATTTTGCTTAAAATAGACTCCAGGATTCTATTCTTGCTATGAACCATGGTAGATTGTTTTGTTATAATTATACTTCATTAATAAAAATGATAAAAATATGCAATATCCAATGAAGAGATCAGCCTATCTATTCTAGATAGGATAATGTTTTATCATCTTATAAAAGTCTTTGGACAATTTGTCTAAAGCATTCCACTTCTTCTGTGGGTTAAAAATAGCTACAATATTTGTTTCATGTAGGAGTAATACCTGAAATATATAGTAGTCTATCAAATTACATAATTCCCCCTTTCAAAGAGACTCCTCTGCAATTGTCTTAATATTTATATTATCAAACTATAATGTAAAATACATTATAAATGTTTTTATTAAAGAGCATCACTGAAAGGCCCTCCTTTCTGTGATCATGGTTTGGCAAATACAGTTATTTCAATGTTTGCAAAACTGCACGGCAAATAACAAAATGCTTACAATGCAATATATTACACAGTTATCAGTACCTCATTTTCATTTTAAAGGTTCAGATTCATTAGTGCAGCCCCAGTTGGTGAGCAGAAGGGTGCAATTATTTCTAGGGTGATTCTACAGCAAATTTCCAATTGAAAGAGAAAAAGAGGGCAAGGCTACAACTTACTTTAAGTTTCTGTCTGAGCCTGATATTGCTACCAACTAATTTTGACTAGTGAATTCTTCTCAAGTCCTGGAAGGGAAATCGTTAGATTGAAGAGATTGATTTTCTTGCAGTGTATTTAAAGAAAAAATTTTCCTTCACTTTTTTTTGTTCATTTCTGTTTTTATAAATTATGTAGATAAATTCGTGGTGCATGAGACAAGAAGCCAAATTCTATCTAGCTGAAATTTTCCTTCTGTATTCCTCAGGAATACATATCATTTTTTTAAAGTATAGTTTAAGAATTTCATCTGTAGAATAGATATTAGATGACTGCACAAGTTATTTCAATTCAATTTAATATCCACAAGTCATTTTATAAACCTAAAACACAAAATGTAGGAATAAATTGTATATGATAAAAATCCAGGTATTCTCTTGTGAAAATGTTCAATTGTTATTTTGAAAGCTTAATTGGGAAAAATATCTGAGCTGTTGTTATCTCTTAAAAATACATAATTAGTGGTTTTCCTTTAAAATTAGTATTTTTTACAACCAAAAAATATTGCAAGAGGGAAGAACTTCATATGTATTATATATGTAAAATGAATAAGTGAAATCCAGAAGAAAACTGGTTTTAATACCAAATTTAAAATAACATTTTCTAATTCTTATTTCTTTGGTCAGATTATTCTTCCAGTTCAGTAGGTCCTTTTGAAATTGTAAGCTACTTTCATTTAAAGTATTTTTTATTACTCGGTTTCAGATTGTTACTTCCTCGGAGACTTATATAAGGCTTCTCTGTAGGATTGATTACAGGGGAGTTTTCTGAAGGGACAAGGTTGTAGGGGGTGTAGGAGAGGAGACATCTGTGAAAATTGTGTCTCTTAACACCTTGGTGCATCTCAATATTGCAAGTAGGGGCCTCATTTCTGGTTCCAGTTTTGGATAAACTTGAGACAGCAAAACAAAATTCTCAACATGATATTAGGTCAGGTCCACAATTAGTTGTAGAAGCAAAGGCTTGTGCACCTTATTCTAAGGCTCCAAGTCAGTTAATTAGATCTGCAATTAGTCTCTCTGGTTGCAATCAATTACAAGTGCAATTTCTGTGTGTGAACTAATTTCGTGTGCAAAAGTAGTCTCACCAAGACAAAAGCCTAAGTTAGAATGAAATTCAGAACTGTCTTAACTCACTTACATCCTGAGAAGAAATAGACTTCTTCCGTACCGTAAGAAAAGCAGAACTAAAAAGCTCTGTGCAACTCAAGACTTTTCTTTAACTTTTCTACAAGTATTTAGATGTGAGCACAAACTCTAGAATCTGGGAAAGTTTACCTGGTTTTGTTACTGTTCATATTTTACTAATTTTAAAATAATTATAATTTTATTTAGATAATAATTCTGATGTTTTTCTTTTCATAATACTGTTTAAATGTGTTATGTTTGTATACATCAGTATACAAAAAGGGATGCTCACGCAAGGGTACAAACCAATTACAACCCAACATTCTATTACAGTAGATTCCGTAATGCATTGCTCCACGCGCACACACAAAGCCTTACAGGCCTGATATATAATGTGGAGATTCAGTGGGTTTTGATGTTTGTCAAAATCCTACCAATTCAGCACAGGAAATTTGGCCCTACCTAGAAAAGTCAACACACTAGGTAAATGCAAAACAAAACAAAATAAGCCAACAAATCCCAAACATTTTGATAGCAGCTCACGTTTGAAAAGAACTTTTGATGCAAATTTCAGAAATTCCCAGTGCCGTTTTGGCATACCTATTTTACCACTGTGTTTCAGACAACAGCTTTTAAGTTCCCCAATTCATAAATGTAATTAAATAATTGCATTAGTGCTAATTAACATGAAACTGCAGATTATTTAAGCGCAAAAAACACTATTCAACTTCTTAATTATTCTTGTTCACACAGCATTTCCTTTTGCTCAGGCGCCCTAGGTGCAAATAAAGCCTCCCATCTGCTCGTAATTAGAACTAAATAATTTCTGAGGATGCAGCTTATCATTTTGACTGCACATTTGATTAAAAACAGTGTACAAGCAATATCCTGGCGTATTGGCGTAACAGCAACAGCACATGCAAGCTTGTGTTCTGCTATCATTAAAGAAGATCGAAAACATTATCTGTTATTTCAGGGGGAAAAATACAACTTTTTAGTTCATTTCATACAGATGAAAGCGAATTACAGCAAATCACCTCTCCACTGAATAGCAGCCCCCACATAATGACTTTATTTGCTTAATCCCCAAATTAAACGCCGTTTCGAGCGAGGGCCCTGTGTTATTACTCTCATCATGTCGAGAACATTTTCCTGCCGAGACCAATTTGAATAAAACAAGGGGCCTTCCTTGAACTCAATCAAGGAGCCATAATGTGGTGGGTAATAGAGGTTGCTGATAGATTTGCAGGCAAAAGTGTTATACCTAATGATGGGATATGGATAATAGTCCTCCTGGAGGTCCTGATGCGATTCCAGTTGGCTGCCAGATGCTAAAAATCAAGAAGAGCATTGATCAGTGACAGGAAGCTATAGAGGATTCATCTAGTCAAACTTCAGCTGTTTATCCACTGTACAGTTAAGCCAGGCATAAATTATATTAATTGATTTAATTACATACTTAAAACATCTTCCCCAATTAATTTAATTAGGTGGCTACATGATGCTACTGGCAGGGGAAGATTAGAGGCAGCTCACTTAATTAACAGAATATGAATGAAAAAAAGAGAAAGCAAACATAAATGAAATTGTGAGCACTAATTAAAAGGCTGTCTGCAAACTTAAATACTTTCTGACAAAGTGGTGACAGCAATGTAGACAAGAGAGGATTTTTTTTCTAGCAAATTAAAGTGCCAGAAGGTATATATAGGAAGAAAAGGTAATGCAGTTAAAGCATTGATTTTCTGACAGAACTACCATAGTCAAAAGGAAGACACTTTTCTACGATAGAAAAATGCAACAGATTTTGCAGGCACAAAAGCCAGATTCCCGATTAGGGCTAAAATATAATGCACAAACAAAAGTGGGGTTTATGCATCATACCCCGAGAAGTAAAAGGCGAGGGAGGCTGAGGGGGAGGGTAGGTGGAGAGGGAAAGATAAAGAGACAACTTATTGCAGGCGTTCAAGCAAGAAATGTTTAGAAAAAGAGGTCTGTCTTGACAGCTGGCAGCCGTGTGCACCTTGGCTCGGATGCGGAAATTCTCCAGGTGCCTCTGACGCGATTCCTTCAGGAGCTTCCTCAGTCGAGTCTTGTGGCAATGTAAAAGCCAAGCGATAGAGATCACGCCTGATGCCCACTTCTGCTGGCGGTAAGTGAGGAAGAATTTTCTCGCTCTGAAGCATTTCCATGTGGCTTGGATCTTGCTGGCGGCCTCTGACTTACCACCTTGGCCCTTGTACCTCTGTCCTGGAAGATTTAACAGCATCTGGACGTGAAGTGGGTTCTCTAACACTGAGAGAAGGTTGTTTCGGGTAAGTTTATTTGTCAGCTCAAACTCTGGAAGGAAGGCCATCAAACTCCTCCCTTTTATTTTGACTTCTGGTATTGCATAGTCCCTGAGAAACTTCTCAATGTGTTCTAAGAGAGAAAAAATGCTCCCCCAAGTTAAGCTGAAATGTTCCTTGAATGCTAAGAAGTCTGGGGCTGTCTTGTCTATGATGCCATCATGAATAGAAAAGTCATAATCCCATGCTGATTTGGGAGCTCGGGAAGATGCAGTTTTCATGGCCTGTGGGGGGAAAAAATGTTGCCAGAGATGAAATATATTATGGTCTCTTTTAAGTGCATGGTTGAGACACTCTGACAGTCACATTATCATTCACCACTCAACGGCGGGAAGATACAGGTCCTGTTGATTAACACATTCACATCATAATATGAAAGTCTGACTAGTGTGTGTCATTAAAACTCATTACCTAGAGATAATGCAAAGCTAATAACATTTTTATAAAAGTGTAATGGAATTGCTCAAGGAAGTAGATCATTAAAAATTACGCTTTTAGTTTACTTTGATATGGCCAGCTGACCCTGTAATCCCCTGTGATCTTACTTTTCAGACATGTGTATTGGTCTTAGAGAAGTATGCTGCTGATTCTTTACTCATAACTTATCTACCCATCATGAAAAGGATGAAGTTTTTCTTCAAAGTCTTCAGGATAATTTCAAATATTCCTAATAAGAGCTTTTTCTAATTTCCTAGCAGATTGTTGCTTTTTAGTGTTTATGAGAATTCTGTCACTTTCTCTTAATATCCAGAGGTGATTTTTATAAGAAGCATTACATTGTGTAGTATCACCCTGGTCATTTTCTGTATTGCTCTTGACAAGTATTCTTTTAAATCTACTATCTTCTCAGGGTCATATCTGGTCTACAGACTAGATTCTGACATTTTATAACACGTAAAGCCAAGAAAGCATTTGCTTTTCATTTTTCTCCCATACCAAATAAAAACAAGTTATGTGGGCTGGGGATTTAGCTCAGTGGTACTGCGCCTGCCTTGCAAGTGCAGGGTCCTGAGTTCGATCCCTAGCACCAAAAAAATAAAATAAAATGGGATGACAGGCAATGTTTTTGTTTGTGTTTTCTATATTAAAAATAATAAATTCTATTTTAGAAATCAAATAAGAAATTTGAATGACAATAGCAATATATCATGACATCCTTACTTTAAAAAAAAAAAAAGAAAGAAACAAGTAAAGGAAATTTTGCTGTCCCCTGAAGAACCACTACATTTCAATTATCACAACCTGTTGCCCTAAAAAAATAGACATCACACCCCATGGTCCAGTGTTCCTAATTGCCTGGTGGCTTGGGGGGAAGAGGGAGGGGATAAATATTCCAGGCTCTGAATTCTCAGTAAGCCAGGTAGTACTGTGGTGATTGTTACGGTTTAGGCATTTAAGGATTTGAATGTCTTCATTATGTCCATATTTTCAGATGTACAAGCCCATCTTTACCAACTTGTATGATTATATCGCTCTCTACAATTTGAAGAGTTTTCACAATACTGAAAAGAAAATCCAAGTTAATTTATCAGTTACTATTGTGCCACCGTGCTGTGTTGAGAATTGCTGTTAGATTATCCATGCTTTTCTTTACCGAGTAAATGTTAACTGAGGGTAATTAACAAATACGAGGTAGGAAGCTATCAAAGAGGAAAGCAAGCCAAGAGATATATTTACAGTAAAGCCACGATAAACAAACCAAGCAATTTATTTTTTTAATTTTTAATTTTTTTAGGCACTAGGGATCAAACTCAGGCCAAGGCAGGCTGAGGAACCACTCAGTCAAATCCCCGGCCCACAACCCAAGCAATTTAAAAAACAAAACCAAACCCTTCTTTTCTCAGATCCTGGGCAGTGAAATGATTAGACTGACATCTCAAATGAAAACGTCAAAAAGCAAATATTAAGTCCAAAGTGGACATTTTCTTTTGACTTTAGAAGCCAACTTTAAACAGCAGTTAGCTTTCATGAACTTTTAATTTGAGAGCTGTTGTAAGGCAGACGAATGATGGAAGAAGTCTTCTCGCCAAGATTCTGACCCTTTCCAGTCTCACCAGGACTCCAAGAGAGAATGCGGACTGTTTGGTACGTGGAGATAAATACATTCCTTCTTCCTGGGTGGGCGAGGGAGAGTCCAACAAGCCATCCCTCCAGCAGACACCAGTCTGGCAGGAGGGACTGAGATTGCGGGCGGAGACGAGTGACACAGGTTCCAAAAGAAATGGCCAGGGGCTACATTTCTGGCTCCCTCCAAGAATGGGCTCCCGTGGAGGGAAGGTCAGAATTCAGAGAAGAATGGCAGGGCTTCACCAGCAAGAAACAGACGTGCAAAAAAATAAATAAATCGCAGATGGACATGTGTGGAGTTGGCTGGTCCTGCCAGTCACATGTTTGATCCGGTCATCAAGACTCTGAAACTTCAAGAGGCAAAGCTATGGATGGGAGATTTGCCAGAGAATCTCATCTCCTTGGAGATGTTCATATAGTTCAAAAATCCCTCATCCTTACAGAGAGCATCATGTGGAAGTAGGACCCTCGGTGAAAAGGGAACAATGTTGGGGGATGCACCTGCCCCCCAGTTAGTGTCCCTCCACTAGCTGGGGATAGGGTCTCTGACAGACGGTCCTGGGCAGGCTGGGGCTGCAGAATCGAGCAGGGGCTACTGGAGAACAAAGAGATTGCGCTTCTTACCTTTGTGGATGATATTCCAGCAAAGACCTGCTCTCAAAGGAAACACTCTCCTGGACATCAAACAGACCACTCAGGCACGGGGAAGCTATGGGTTTGGAGTCAGCTAAAGCATAACTGTAGTACATCTGTCACTGAGAATGCCACACACGGGAGCACTTTAGACTTAGAGCAAGAAAAGACATGCCTCTCAAGAGAAAGCCTTCCCAAATTAAAGCAGTGCATCAGCATTGTGAGACCCATTGAGCAGGTAAAGACAAAGCTGCTTCACAGCCTGCTAGGAATCACAACCCTGATTAAAGGTCACGCCACACTTCAGGTTCCGGTCTCTTCTGTTATTCTTCCTTCATTGTCTATCTTCAGGAATTTGTCCAGTATTATTTGTTGGTTTTCCCTCTCTTTCTTTTTCCCTTCCTTCTTTCCTCCCTCTTTTTTTATTTACAATGTGCTGCACTTCCAATGCGATATTTCTAACTCAGTGGCAATTTTTTTTCCTTCCGGTGGGGACATAAATCTGCTGAGACATTTTCAGTCTCACCTGGTCCTTCTTGGGACCACAGCCCCACCTCACCCTTGGGTGAAGCCTGCGCTCAGGCACTGGCCAACACACGGCCCAAACTGGTGGCTGTGGCCTGATTATTAGCATCCTGCTCTAACTGACTGAGTCAACTAGCTGGGAAACGCTCTTCTTCATTTGCAAAGTGTAAACACTAATTAGGTAACTTTGAGAGTTTCTGGAACAGCTATTTCAGGAAATCTAAAACCAAAACAAAACAGGAAGATGAAATGATTTCATAGGTTAGTAAGATCCAGGGTGAAAAACAGAAGCCCCATATTGCATTCTAAAATTTAGACATAGCTACTGCTAAGAAAAATTCCAGAAAAAAGTAATGTATTTGTAAGCTGAATTTCTTATGAAACTTTTTATTTTCATATATGTGTCTAGCACATAGATGTAGGATTTGTAGATCTCTAAGTTGGATATGAGCAAGGTCTCCTAGTAGTAAGTAGTCAAGTATTTGGGATAATTCAACATGAATATCATTTTTCTAGAAAATTATAGTATACTGCCTAGAAGAATAGACTAAAATAATTTTGAATCTATGTGTCAGTGTTCAGCTTCTTAAACACCCAAACTTACCCATTTAGCAATTTGCCTGGCCATTTGCATTATATGAAAGGTAAGTTCTTCTTGCACTTTATGACTCTTAAGTGAGAGCTTAGGTTCAAAGAATGAAGGGAGTGTGATTCAGAGATGGAGTTTTTATTATTCCCCAAAGACCAGGGACTCCATTTGTCTGACTCTATTTTTTAAACTTTGGAGAAAGTCCACGATGTGTTGAACGTTGTACAGAATAACTATCAGGACCTCAGCTGGATAGAATTGTTCAAAAGGGACACACAATATTCAGAGAAAATAGCTGACTTAATCAGGCTTCAGGCTTTAGCATGATCAAGTCTTGAATTTTAATATATGAGGGAGCTTGAAGGTCACTTGCCTTTTGCCCGGTAGACTCTCCTGGGTTCAAGGGAAGAAGACTTAATGCTGAATTCCAACTAATCTCAGATCCTCTCCCTGCCCCTATCTGCTGCGTACTCTTAGGCGAGTCACTTTCCACTCAGAACCTACATTTTTGCCTCACCTGTAAAAGTGAGACTTCCCTGGAGAGTTGTTGTGATCACTATATTACACTGTACTATACTTTTCCAGTACCTCCTCCCCAGTGAGTGTGGTGATTGCTATAGACAAGGAAACTGAGGCTTGGCTTGTCTAAGAGCATAAAGCCAGCTAATGGATCTTCTGCTAAGCTACTAGTTTTGCTACTATAAGAAAAAAAATCCTGTTTCAAAATACCCCAAATCCAGGTAGAACTAAAAGAAAGAAAGGAGTTACTGGCCGAGACTTGTCCTTATTGTCCTCCCGTCACTTCTGTCCAGTCCTCTTCTCCTCTCATGGTACACTCTCTCCGCACCTTTTCCCTTGTTGTCCCCCTACCTCAAGTCACCCATGCTCACGGTCCTAGCCGTCTAAAGCTGTAGATGGTGCCTTACTGTGTTCCGGTCTTCTTCTCTGCCTTTCCTCTATCACCTGCTACATCGGAGCCAACCCGGCCTTGACCTGCTGCTTCTGCTTTGCTAGGCTGGAAAGCAGTTTGTTAGACTAATCTCTCTGAAGGCACCAATGGACATAACACGGTATAGGGAAGAGTGGTAGTCTGAAGCCAGGAGACCTGGACTTTGGTCTGCCATGTGCCTCCCTACAGCCTTAGGAAGTCACTTTCGTTTCCATTAGGGTACCACTTTGGGGACTTTCAATTTTCACACCCTATGACTTCCTGAGTTAACGCGCCACCCCCCCACCCAGCGGTGCTGGCTTTGAATTAACCCCCAGAGCTGACAGGATCAAAGGCGGTTCTCTCCAAGAGCACCACTTCCTGTACTGTGAGATTGACCAGGGGGACTCTTTCCTTTTACATTTTTTTTTTTCAGACAGAAATTGTTTCTAGCAATTATCAAGCCAAAATCAATGGCAAGTTGCCCACAAGACCTAATGTGCAAAATTGAGGAGAAAACCCCCAAAACTTCTATTTTCTGATACTATGGGGTCTGTAAGTCAACAAACCATTCTCAGGGTTTGAGACCTAGAAGCAGCCTAAGACTTGAGTGTCAGTTAAAAGTGAGAGTCAGAGTCCTTCACCTTTATAAAGAGAATAAAAGGCATAGAGAACTCACTGAACAGTGACAAATAAAGGGAGAGAATTGAGTAAAAGGCCACTCAGGTAAGTGGCAGTTTTCTAGGAATAATTTCTACAATTGCTTTGAAAGGTATCATTATTCAAATGAATCTTTCTGAACTCTGAACCACTTCCTGAGGAGTGAAATCCCCACCCTTAGGTGCACTCAAATGGAAAAAAAACAATGAATCAATCACATTCTGGTGGAAGTTCAATCAAGAAGATATTTTAAACAGGAGACTGTTGCCAGTCAAATGTGAAATTTCCTTTTCTAGAGGTACATTTTACTGCTGCATTGATCTCATTTGTTCTGCTACCCTCCGAATATTCTGAGAGAATTTAACACATCTAAGGACCGCTTGGGACAATTATGATGGATGGGTTGAACCTGCTGGGGATGTGTACAGCAAGCCTGACAGGAGGGGAATCAAAAGCAGCCCCTTCCCAGATCCCTGAGCAAAAGCACACCATCATTTTCTCTGTAGATACAACAATCACCCCCAAGTAAAGCATAATGTTCTGATTTTCTTGAGGAAAACTGTGTGGACAGCAAGATCAATAAAGAGCACTGTACTTGTAGAACTCTCTTAGTGCTGCACTTTGACACATTCTATGTATCTACGTAAGTATTCGGCTTTACTCCCTTTGTATGGCTGATAACTCTCTGACAATATCTGCCTCTTCATCATCTGCCTCCCTCACTAGAATGTAAGTCCCAAGAGGGCAAGGACTTGGCTGGCTTCATTCATGGCTGTGTTTCCTAGTACGCTGCTGGCACATGACGAAAGTTCAGTAAGGATTTGTTGAATGAATGAACAAGTTAATGTGTGAATACTAAAGCCTAAGTTCAAAGAATACTGGCTTTGTTTTTAGGGTGTATCTTTAATACAGAATACTATATAGCCATTGAAATGTTATAATGAGTTTTAAATCACACTGTAAAGGCTTATGACAAATTGCTAGGGGAAAGAGTAAGACATCACAGTTGAGTGGACAATGTGATACAATGGACTATCTCAAAGTTTGGATAATGCCAAAGAGTTGTGATATTATAAGGGAAAAGTTCTTGCATACTTTGTCATTTTTCTCTCCTTTCTGAGCTTTCCAATAAAGAATGATTAGGATATACTTTGTCAAATGAAAGCAATAAAGCAAAAAAAAAATTAAATAAAGATCTGTTGCTTTTCTGATGTATACAAGTAAAATTTTAAAAATGCAATAAAGATGTGCAGTTAGGCTGTGCTACAAAGTAAAACAGTGTTACAATAAAAACAATCCTTTCAGTTTTTTTTGTTTTGTTTTGTTACTTCTTGCAAGAAACAAATTGCTTTTCAAATAAAGCCATATAATTAATTTCACTTTGAAAGTTCAATGCCAAAAATGCATAGGTGAGGGTGGCAATATCTAATTAATTTTTAAAAATGCAAAATGGATTTTAACAAATTCTACAGGTTTTCTTTTGTTTGGGGAATTGTTCTCCTCTTCCTTAAGGTGTTTTATGAGAGAAAAAGTTTGAAAGAGAAAAAAATACTAGCTTTGGATTTGCTTTTGAGTCTTGTCCTGTATCTGGAAGTTGCAGAGCTCTGAGACCTGTCCTCTCTCTAACCCTTCAGGCAACACAGGAAAGGAGTCCACATTGTGGTGGGAACTGAAGTCCACCAGCGAGGCATCCTGTGCTCATTAAGAGGTGAGCTCAGTCCCTGCCAGATAGGACATGATAAAGCTAAAACTGCTGCTAGATATCACCTGGAGGCTTTCAAAGCATGTATCAAAGTATGTATCTTAATGTCTGGGACATTGTTCACATGTAATATACTTTGACAGGAAAGAGGGAAAGTAGATAACAGCTGCTATGGGTGTGAGGACTCTAGACACACACACACACACACACACACACACACACACACACACACACGTGTGCCTCTCCCTTCCC